TGTTTTTCATTTGACTCCAAGGAGCACAGATTTTGACACTAATTGCTGCAGCTGGGTGCAGAGGGTTTTAAAGTACCTTCACTGCCTCTGTGTGCGTGTGTGTTTGCTATTTTTCTTTGTAAAACATTTGAGTTGACTGTTGGATTTTCCTTGAAAGAGATGGAGTCCTGGTAAATAAGTGCAGAACCCATGTCTGTATTTTTTTGGAAAGCCTACTCAGCGCAGTTAATTCACATTATCTGAAACTGTGTGCTCCCGCTTGACAGGGTCAAGGTGGCGCTCTGGTTCTCCATGGAGCCCCTCACGCTGCTCCTGTCGTTCTAATAACAGCTTTGTCACAGACGCCTCATAAATCACTTCAGAGCTTGGTTTTCTTCTCTTAGGCCCACAAATGACTTTACGCTTCACTGTCTATCATACATTTTCCTAATGATTCCTTGATGTGTTGCTGGAATCACCGCTGTTGTTGTTTTGAGCTCGTGGGAGGAAACTCGCCATCTGCCACCACATTTCCTTCCTTCCACTTGGTCCTGGGGACTGAGTGGAGCCCCGCCAAGGATTCCCCGCTGATAGCGTGATGCTCAGTCAGAGAGCCATCAACCCGGGCCTTGGCTTACATATGAGGCGGTTGCCATGGAGACATAGGGGTGGCAGGTGGTGCTGTGTGCCGGGAACGTGCACAGGTGTGTTGTGACAGATGCTGCAGGGCGGGGAGAGGAAACAGAGGTCTATGCTGCCTGGTTGAGCTCCGCACGACGTGTGTGTGGGTGGCTGAGTGAGCTTGGATGAGGCTGCTCTCTTTCGCTGTTAACTCAGCTGAGTCAACATTTCTAAGTCAAGTGACTTAGAAGGGTTTTCACCTCAATAGGAGTTTTATCAGCATCAGCACCAGGCATGAGGGAGAATACAGACAACACTTGGATGCCTGGAGTCACAGCTGCAGGCAGATGCTCTCTGCCTTTTGCCCACAACGTCCAGTGGCTGCGTCTGTTTTCAGCTCTTCTCTCTGCTCCACTGTCTTCACACTGCTTCTGCTGCAGCAGCTCAGTTCTCTGACATTTGAATTCTACTTGTGACTGCTTAGGTTGTACATGACTACATTTTATTCAGTGGTGAAAGAAGTACTCTGAAAAAGTTGTAGTAACACTGGAGTGTGTTGAATTTAACAAAGATGTGTAAGAAGAAGAAGATGTTCCTGCTTTAATGTATCGAATACACAGATGCTTCATAAGGCTGGTGTTACTGTATATTATGTTTAAGGTGGCCTCAGACACAGCTGTGCTGCCCACACCAGTGACAGTGATTGATGCACTCATGAGCATGTCCACTGTTTGCTGTGGCCATTTGAGTAGATTGCAGCCAAATGTTATTAAATTGTGGCTGCAGGTCGCATTGCAAACAGAACACGCAGAGGAAAAGGATGCAGGGGCTCGTCTCACTGCGCCTCTTTGCTTCCAACAGATGTGAGGATGAAGTTTGGTTTTGGACCTGGTGAGGACACAATTAAGTTCTGATAGATCACATTGTATATGGAACTTCACTACAAAAAGCACCGTGCTCTGCTGTGTTATCTTTGTCTAAAGCTCAGCTCTAGTGTCACTTGGCAAGATTAACTGTAAATCAAAAAATACAGATGAAATCGCTGTTCATTGGAAAAATGGACTTGTCCCTGCCTTTAATCAGCCCTGTTCACAGGTCACGCTGCACATGCTGATTAAGCTCATTGCTTATACTAACTGAAGGCGAGTCAGATGAGTGGATCAACGCCTTTATGACCCTTTTTGTGTGTACAGCACTACGTTGGCCTGACAGTCAAAGGACAATGTTCACAGAGGCCGGAGAAAGAAACCTGAAGTAATAACAGGAGTAAAACTAGGATTTTTGAAAAGTGGAGTTCCAAGTGGAAATTAGAAAGAAAAAAGCTGGTCTAAACCAAAAATAATATTCTTAGCTCACTACACTTGTTTTATTGTATCATATTGCCAATAAGTTCCTCTATTTCTTTGTGTCATGACACCACAGTCCAGTGAGCAGTGCAGGTTGTTGGTAAGGTCAGACACAGAGGTGCAGTTTGGCATCCAGATCAAACATGGTTGACGTCTGACTTTTCACACCTGCCTCCTACGGATACAAGAGACTTTATTATCACTTCAGCAATATACAAGTGTAGTGTGAGCAGAAGTCACATTTCATCTGGGACCCACCACATGGCCCAATAAATGTAACTATAAAATATAAGGATATAAAAATAAGTTGCCTGTGCATTGGCATATCTTTATGTGTGTGTGTGTGTGTCTGTGTCTCGGTATGTGTCAGGTTTATGTTTGGCGGTTCAGGAGTCTGATGGCTTGGGAACAGAAGCTGTTTGTGAGTCTGCTGTCTGAGGTTCTAATGCCCCTGCATGTCGACTGGGGGTGTGGGAGAGGTCTGCCACTATGGCGGTGGCACAGTGAATGGTGTGATTGTGGTCGTCTGCTGCTGTTTGCAGGTTAGTTGTCACAAGTAAATCAACGTCAGCTCTAGGCTGATGTTGGGATGATGTTGAGGATATGCTGTTTGTGAGTATAACTGTGATCCTGTAGTCCGGTGAGGCTTCAGGTTCAGGTCTGATAGAGGATCTGGTCTCTAAATGGTTCTTCCTGTCAATAACGAGCCAGAGTTACACTGCAGGCAAAGATAACAGCACTGAGGATCAATAATCTATCTCATACTGGGTCGTAAATGCAGCATGGAGCATGGTGATGCGTTCGGGGTCATCCGTCAAGCTGATAGCAAGAGAGCATCCTTGTGTTTCTCTGCTCTGTTGCTGATTGTGTTTAAGATAATGCAGAGGTAATGATCATCGAGCTGCTCCAACAGCTAGTCCTCTACTGAAGCATCTGATTTACGCAGCTCCCAGTCAGCAAGGTGAGAGGAGGAGGCACTGCAGAGCCTCACTTGGTTCACTCTTTAAATGGCTGAACATGAACTTTTCCCAGTGTATAATGTTTTTTTTCTGTGCAGTCCATGTGACTAGTTGTATACCTCAGCTGCAAAGGGACCAGAGACTTTATTTGAAACTGGGCGTTATTAAAGACTGGCCTTTACTTTGAAAATCTCCTGTTTGTACAAGAATATTCCTGCATCTTTACCTGTAGTCCTGATAAATTCTGTATATTTCCACAGTATTAGATGTGTCGGTACACATCTAGTGTACCAAAGCCAAGTCTGATGAAAACACCTCCTCTTTTTGTTTGTTTGCAGTTACTAATTTCCTGTTCTTTGTTACTGTCAGGCTGATTTCAGTGAAACTTAACACTTTCTGCATTATTTGTTTACATTAGTCTAAATACAGCTCAGCGTTCTTGGTAAACTTGTAGTGTGAAAATCTGTGTTTCATTAGCTCAACAGCGATCGAACAAACGGCAGCGTGGAAGTAGTGTAACCTGTGAAACTGATCCATACGTCTGTTAACAACACAACAGGAGACTGGAGGCCACAGTAAAGACAGAAACAGTGGTTGATTTAATGCCACAGACAGAATTATCAACCTCTAGCACAAGTCACCAGATTGATTAATGAGCAGAGCTGAATTAACCATCTGATGGATTAATGATGGAATTAATGATGCTGCATTCAGTCCCTCAGACCATCAGATCATCGTCTGACTGTGCTGACGTGAAAAGTGTCATCAAATCACCGTTGAGAATACAATCACAGGTTGTTCTGAGGAGATACTGCCTCAGGAGGTGAATAGCATGTGGGTAAAATAAGGATGTTTGGTAGTCATTTGTTGGAGTGAACAAACACAGAGACTCAGCTGATTCTCATGTCTGACAAAGAAAAGCATCAGCTCCTCACATTAAAGAAGGTGGAACCAGAACATGTCGGTGACTGTTGCTTCTAAATAGCTGAGGTTCATTTTCTACCAGTGAACTGACTCATGGCTGCAGCTCTAGGTCACTGAATGGCTTCATGAGGACGACACAGTGGGTCGGACATGGTGGGTTGGACACAGTGGGGTCGGACACCGAAGACGCGACACTAGCAAGGCTCTGTTGGTCGCTGTGTGTGGACTGACATCAGAATTTGTGTTAAGCCGTTTTAATCTTGTTATAATATTTGATGAGCTTTTTCCAGATTGTTCAACTGCTTATTTTACGTTTGAGTTGTGTTTTGTGTATAAAAGATGGTTTATGCCTGACAGATTTCCACAGTGGATGTAGTTTGAGTTTTTTGGCCTGAGGAAGGAGATATCTTTGAAATGTCCAGGAAAAGCTTTAGTGAATCGTGAGTTTCAAACAGTTTGTAAGACGAATGAACCTATAGTTTTAACATTGTATTCTCTTCATTTGTGCACAGAAACGACTCAGTGGAGAGCACAGGTGATTAATCCCAGGCCATAAATCAGTAATTCCAGTGCACAATTAGTTTTGTTTCCCTCCGTTACACCTGCCAGGAGCTCTAATATTTTAGGATTCTAATGAGTACTTTGAGGGCATGACTGATTATGAGTGAACACACATGGCTTGAATTAACAGTTTAAGGAAATAATAATCTCAGGGCGACGAGTCATTTGAGGGTTGAAAGTAATAATTAACTGGCATCAACTGTGGCAGACTAACCTGTGGACCTCTGTATGAGGCCCAGTTCTGTTTCCTGCTGCAGCATCAGCCATGCGACATTAGCAAAGACAGACTCCAAACATTGGATCTACATTTGTGTCTTGCTCGCTTCTTTCGTGTTTTTGTTGAAAATTTGTTTCAACATGACTGCCATTGACTGCTGCTCAGTGTGGCTGTGTGAAACCATTTGCATTCTGTATGTGTGCCGCATCACGTCCTCGCGTCAGAGGCCCATTCATCGCTGCTTCACAGGGGAACCTATAAGCAGTTTGACAGCACACCAGAGAATCAGTTCATGACGTGGAACACAGACATTTAGAAATTGTACTGTATGTTTAAAAGCCTGTTTCAGCTGACTTGTCTGTCTCATGCCTCCCCCCTCTGACCTCTCCTCAGATGTACATCCAGACAGCCACGCTGACCGTCTGCCTCAGCCTCAGCGCCTCCGTCTCTCTGGGCATGCTCTACATGCCAAAGGTCTACATCATCATCTTCCACCCCGAGCAGAATGTCCCCAAACGTAAACGCAGCTTTAAGGCCATCGTCACCGCTGCCACCATGAGCAGCAAGCTGTCGCAGCTGGCGGCCGAGCGGCCCAACGGTGAGGTGAAGACGGAGCTGTGCGAGGGCGTGGAAGCCAGCGGTGAGATGACCTGTACAGGTCCCTACACTCGCACGTTGGTTAAAAGCTGCTATTAGTGCTTTTGTTTTTAAAATAGGTTAATAATAACAACCAATAACAAATTTGCATAAGTGTTCAGCAGAAAATAAACAAAGTTACCAGTTCACTTCATCTTTCCTCACTCCATCTTCAACTAAGATGGTATCAGTGGGTAGGGCAGTGGCCCTCGAGGACCAGGACTGGCCACCCCTGGTTTACAATAAGGCAGAACGTACTGAAGAGCCTGAAGAAGACAGTTTATAGTCAGTTACTCTGTGAACAAAGGTGCAGGCAGAAGCAGAGTGTCAGGTCCTTTGTACAGTTGACCGTCTGAAGGTGAAGACAGAATGTAGCCTTTGTACAGTAATGAAGATTTTATGGGAAGTTGACTGGAGTGTGTGTGGACGTCAACGGAGAGCGGATCTGTTGAAGCCACGTCGTTTCCAGCTCAGAGCTACACTTCAAAGCTGCTTCTCGGCCTGTCAGCAGAACAGTGGGAGACGTCGGACTGTTTAGTCATCAGAGATGTGCTGCTGACGGATCTGCTTTACCTCAAATTATTTTCCCAAAAAGCCTCTACAAAGCTGAGCTTCCTCTTTTATCCTGCAGAGTGTTCAGAGTGAGAGAAAGAAGTCACAAATAGTCAGAAAATGTCAAAATACTTGTGAGCCTCATTTCATACACAGTATACCAACAACTGCTGGTAGTAGCTCTTCAATTTAGTGACAATATGAGCTTTCTGTCAGCACCACTTTCAGACAAACCAAAGTTTTTCACTTCACTACTGACTGGGCTCTAACCACTGCACCCTGAAGGGGGCACGGCAGGACTTTTGTCCCAGTTTGTGTTGAGTCATAAACCTAAATAGTGCCATAGCAGTGAGTCCTAACAGGAAGGAGATTTGGCTGCTCAGCAGATCAGCTCCGTGTGATTCATCACCTGTGAACTGTCAGTCTGTTGTTACCTGTTGACTTTTGTGAATTTCGAGCTCAGGTTAACCAGCTGAGACCGAAGATAAGTGAAAGTTAGCATCACTTCACCAACCTGCTGTTTTCTGTTCTCTCCTCAGTGCCCCCGACTAAAACCACCTACGTCAGCTACACCAACCACGCCATGTGAAGAAACACCCGGACATCCAACTATCGAGCAGACTCAGAGGAGATGTCATCAGAGCCCGAGCCAGGCCTGAGGCGCTCTGAACAGTCTAAAGGATCAGAGCACTGACAAACTGAACCAACACATCTGTGGTGTTTTTATGTTTACAGACAGCGGGGAACAGCCTAAACAGGCCAAGGCCCTGATGGGATTGCAACTGAAAACCATCCGAGAGAAGCTGCAAAAAGCAAGAGGATGGTAAAAAAATAAAAATAAAGCAACACTACAAAAATAAATACAAAAGAGAAAGTGTTGGGACCAGCGATGTTTGTTGTTATTTTAATTGTATGAAAAAAAAAAGTGTTGTGAAAATTTCTGATTCTTGTCTCATGTCGTCTGTTTGTCGACCTGCATTATGACATGAGTTTGTTGCTGTTTTCAGCTAAATGAACAGTAGCTTTTGGTTGTGAAATGTCTAAATGCTATGGTTGAAATGAAGCATGCCCGTTTTTATACGAATGATCTATTTATAATAAAGGAATGTTTCACAGGTCGGTGCCATGTTTAGGGCTGTTTGTTTGGGGACTTTTAGCAAATAGATCATCGGTGAAAAACACATTCTTTTGTTGTGAATGTAGGGGTTTATTCTCTTTTCTCTGGAAACAAATCGTGTTGTGCAGATGCTGTCGATCCGTCACTGTGATGCACTTCTTTGCTCTTCTGCTCAGGTACGTGTGGTTCTTGTTATCCATAAACTGTGGCACGTAAACATAGACAACAGCCTTGCTGACAGAACGGTTAACAGATTTATGTTGAGCGCAGTTAGACTTTATATAAAGATTAGAAAGACGAGGAGAACTATCTAGCTGGATGAGACAAAATCATAATATGTTGCATAACTGGTAAATGATTGATTGATTGAAAAACTAAATACAAATAATTTCTACAATTAAATCAATGTTTGACCTGAAGTTAGATTTTTTATCCAGTCATTCAGGGAAATCAAATTAGGCAAATATAATTAAAAGATTGCTGAGAATTGAAGATTTTTTTATCATCCAGGAGTTCAAAATCATTTTAAATGTTCATTAAGATGATTGTTCTGTTTAGCTGGAAGACCATGTTCTCATTCCTAATCCCACCTTTCAACCTCTGATTTGTAAGTTATTTATGAATTTGTTTATCTTGGGCACATAACGACTATCACGATAGCTTTCTTTATTTTAGGTCACTGATGTACTTGCTTTTTGTCAGTGTGCAGAGATGATGGCTGAGATACAGGCGTCGCTGGGTACATCCCAGTTCGCTTAAATGCCTCCATGGTTCCCTCACTTGTCTAAACAAGGTAAGACTGAGAGAAGAAAAAAGAATGTGCAAACAAGAAAATGAAATGTGCATTAGGAAAGTAAAAGTAAGGTGCTTATAGAAATATGCACACAGTTTAGATGCAGTTTTTAAGATTGATGTATACAAAGGTGTATTTCCAGGTACTGCACTGAGGTTTGTCGTTCTGTTACAGTCATGGGTTAAGTGATTAAAGAGTAAAAGATGATCTCACAGTTCACCAGAGTTGAGGTCCACACTACTGTGATGAAGTGCAGAGGCCTCTCTGTCCCAGGCGGCCCTTTGGCTCTGACATCATGGTGGCTTCTGGTGCACACAGCAGCTGCTGGACCTCAAAGTCTAAATGGATGCGATCCAAAGGCAAAACACGAGCAGATACTACAGGTATATATAAACTCCCCCTTTACTGGATTTGACCTTTATCTTAGCCAGAGTCTGGCAGGAAACTCGCACAGTGTGCACCTCATTATAGGCTGTAGAAAACCAACGGTCGATGAGATCGATATGTGCTGTGGAACAGGAGAGGCTGAATCAATACACAGTGCCAGAGACAGCTCCTCGGGCATGTAATGAATATTTCTGCATCTCGTGGCAGAGAAGACAACCAGGACAGGTAGAGTCTGAGTGAAGAAGCCTGCGGCCGTCCTTCTTTATTTCCCTTGACGCCGTGCTTGTTTCTCGCGTTTGCAGCCAACTGCATGACGAGAACCTCTGTCTTCATGGTGCTGCAGCAAACATTGAAAATAATGTTGAATATGAGACACTATTTCTACTCTGTGCTGCCTCCACCCCTCCTGTTCTCCACCTCTGAGTTCTGTACATGTTCAAACGGTGTAAATAGTTTTGGCCTGTACATCACAGTGCAGTTGGTTTCTGTATATAAAGGACAGAAGAGAGTGCCCTGACTTGTCCCAGTTTGGTTTCTGGTCCTTCTTGGTCATAAGCAGTGGCCAGATGCATCGCAGAGAATCCAGGAAGTTCCTTGTCCCAGCCAGAATTTAGTTCAGTATCTGCACCATAAAAATTGTCATTTTTACACTTTGGTTTTTGTACAGCTAAAACAAATGAGATATAACGTGTTTACAGCTTTAGAGCCTTCAGCTTCAGTCTGGGTCTGTACAGGACTTAAAAAACACTGAATTCACTTTTGTCAAAAAGACTAAACAAATATTAAACTGACAGAAATGTTAAATATGTTTACAAAAATTGCCCTTTCTTTATGTACTGTATGATTGCAAACTTTTGGGAGATGATATACACTAGCAATGACTAATAATCATCAGCAGCAGTGCTGTGTGCCGTCTGAGGGAGAAGCATCTGAAGCAGAAATGTGACAGACTGGTCTGAACGTGTTCCCACAGGGGGAATCAGCCGAGCGGCTTGGCAGACTACACCGCTCGTATTTATGAAGCTGCTGCCAGCGAGTCATCAGCTCCAGGGTGGACACTGCCAAAATAATCAACAAAAGCTAAATTAAATTCAGCTCACTGAAATGTCCAGAATTTAAATAAGTGGACAGAGCGCTCGACTACATTACAGCTCGAAGGAGGAAACAACAGTTCACATTCTGTAACTATTTGCAGTAACTGTAAAACTGTTTTCCCTGATGTCTGAGCGTTTGACTGACAGCAGACACTTTTAAAGTATTATTGAATTGTACAGTAAATACTAAGTAAAAACATTAAGACTTAGCAGTTTGATCAGCTCCTCTTCTCTCTCATCTGGACATGGACTGTTGGGGAGCTTTTAGTGAGGAAATGATACTGAATGAGTGAGAGGGACATGTCCCCCCAACCCCAACACCATCACCATCTGTCTGAAGTTTGCTACCATTAGCCTCAATCAGATATTAGACAGCAACTTGAAAATGTCCCTGTCAGCTCATGTAATATCAACTCACATATTTGTTTATATTAATGTATATTTTAAGGAAACTGCAGGATTTTGACACATGCTGATGTTACTGATATAACATGGGGGAGGCCTGTGTCTCACAGCATCTATCTATACATTATGTTTTTATGCTAATGCTGCCTCATTTTTATCTGCGCTGCCAGTTGAGGGTTTGAACCACTCTGGTTACTTCATGTAATCTGGGTGTGAGCTACTCCCGCTGCTAGCTGCTGCTTCTCAGTGTCATCCTGACAGACAGGATGAGTGGCACGCTGCCAAACAACATCCATCCAGCCATTATCTATACCGTTTATTCCTGAAGAGGGTCGTGGGGGGTTGGAGCCAATCCCAGCTGACTATGGGTGAGAGGCGGGGTCCGCCCTGGACAGGTCACCAGTTTGTCACAGGGCTGACTGCCAAACAACAATAACTGCTTTAAAGCAAATGTATTTCTCAGTACTGGACATGTCCTTATAGAAGCTGCCATGACATTGTGGCATTGAGTTTCTATCCATTGCTGCACAGGCATCCTCCAAACGTGACCAGTCCTCAGATTAGTCAGCAGCATCCTCTCTGGCTGACACAGTAACAGTGAGTCCAGCAGGTTCAGCTTCTCCCCTGTCTGTGTCTTATCTCCATGAAACCAGCGTGACCCCACAGGGTATTCCTGCACCATCAGCTTAATTGGCTCGCTGACAGAAACACTGTGGGTTTTCCTCATTACTAAGCCCTTTGATCCAGCTGCTGTAGATGGCCCCGGGGCCAGTGACTCCAAGAGTTTACATTGATTTAATATGTAGTTTCAGAGATGATGATGAGGAGAGACCGCAGCTTTATGTAGAAATGTTGAAAACAGTTTAACATAACTAACAGTGAGCGGAGGCAGAGGCGTCAGTTTAACGTGGAGAGAGGCTCGAACACTGTTTCCACATGGATCTGCCACTGAGTCAAATGAACTTTAATTAGCTCTGGTTTAGTTTTTGTGCCTCTGCTCTGCAGATTCAGAGCAATAATAGAAAAAGTATCCTTTATTGTTCTTTACTGTCTTTATTGTGGACACTAGGCCAATGTTTCACTATCACGCTTTGCTATTTTGCCTTGAGGCAGCACAGTCTAGCTGATCCCACAGCACGGCTTCTGTACTTATGTTGATTTGTCAACACAAATGTAAATGTTTTGATCATGGTGCAGCAGCTTGGAAATAACTGACGGCTACACGTTGATTTAATTAAAGTATTTTAGTTTATATTGAGCTTTTTTGTAGTGTAGTTGCGTTTTTAAGTTTTGCTGTCACAGAGACCACTATAGACCTGTACAGAGAGTCTGCAACCACTGGTTTCTTTCATTATCAATAGGTCTGACAGTTTTATTTTACCTTAGTCATCAATTGATTGCTGTCCAAAAAATGAATACGTTCTTTATTCCCTGAGGTTCACATATTCACATTGTGTCATTTTGTCTGTCCGGCTGTCCACAAGCCAACATTATTACTTAAGATCATTGGAAACTGCAAAATGAGCATGTTGAATGAATCTTGCCTTTATAAAGTAATTTAAATAATAATCTACAGATTGAATAATTAACTGAATTCATTCAGCTTTAGAGTTCCTGCTCCTGCCTCTGCTGCTGTTTATCTGAAGGCTGAATTCAGGAGGCATAATAATGAATCTGTGGAAAACCCTGATAAAAACATAGATAAAAAAAAAAGCAGTTAACTATCCCTTTAAATACACATGAAACTTTATCCACCGCAGTAACACAAGCACTAAAAGCAGAAAAGCTTCTTCAACACCTTCAGACTGTGGATGAAAGCAGGAACCCTCAAATAATCACATGTGCTGGTCAGATCCTGACTTAATAATCAGTATTTATTGTAACACAGATGTGAATGCAGCAGGCTTCATCTGCTTTTCTATATGTAACAATATGCCCTTTTTATCCTGTTTTCACAGGAACTTTCCTGTCATGTCGTCAGTTGATTTCACAACGCTCCTGCTCTGATGATTCTGACTCATGAAGAAAGTTTATTTTTATCCTCTTGGGGATTGATTCGCAGCCTGTGTGTGTTGGAGGGGGGTCAGAGCTTCTCTTTGACTCTCTGGGAGTTTAATTGGCTTCAGGTGGAGTTCGTCCCGGGTGGTCCGTGAGCTGTAGTGGCACAGTCAGCAGCTGTGCCACTACAGCTCACGGTTCAGAGGAGGCCCTGAATGAGCCGCTCTCCGACTGTGTCCACTGGGCTTTGGCTACAACAGCACATAGTATAAACTGGTTTTACACAGAGAGAGATTTTTATGCACAGTTTGTGTGCCAGAGCA